TATGGATTTGATTTAAAGTCGGTCGTCTCCTTGCACGGCTTTCATACTTGGGCTTTCCCATTTTGTCAAACCCCTTTTTCCCATGCTTTAAGCAAGCTAATTAGGGTTTCTTTTTCTTTTTTAATTTTTTAATTTTTAAAAGATTTTAAATTCTTCCTTCTCCTACACTTCTCTTATATTAATATTTTTCTTTAAAACGCGTTCACACAAAAATAATAAATATATTGATTTTCTCTGTAACTTTTAAGTTTTAAGGACATATACTCTTAATTCGTCGAGTGACGGGTATATATGAAGTGAATTATCGATTTATTATAGCTTTTTATTTAATTGTATATCTCGTGTTTCTTAATAAATGAGAATGTTTGCTAAACCCTAATTAATTGGTATACGCAAGCCATAGCGAAAGGTGATTTGGAGGTCAAAAGAGTGGAGTCAAAGAGTAATCAATTAGCTTCGTCTGCGGCAGCTATGAAGACTGCCCATGCAGTGTCAAAGCCAACAATGGTGGTGGAGAAGAACGGTAGATTCAAAAGCTAATGAAAGAATCGAAGTTGCTAAATCGAAAGGGTTCTAATATTATGAGAATGTTTGATTAAACCACGTAAATGATGTGAAAGTCATTTATTTATAATCAAATAAATTACCAGACATGGAAAGAGCAATAAATGAAAGATACATACGGTAATATGTAATAGAAGTAAATATCTAGATATTATTTACTTATAATAAAATATCAAATATGATATATATACGGTAAACTGTAATTTAGTAATAAATATCCTTAACAATAAATTTGTATACCATTAAATTTGACCTTTTAATTAAAATTTTTGAAAACTAAAAACATTTTTTTATTTTTAAATTTTGGATAAAACCTCATTTAATAATTGGTATTTATTTTCTATCATTTCTATAAACAAAATATTTGAATTTTTAGACAAAATTTAAATAAAAAAAATTGTTTTGAAAAAATATTTTCCTTTTTAAAAATTTGGCTCGATATTTAAAAGCATAGGTAAAAAATGAAGAATACCGAATAAAAATAGAATTTTAGGCATAATTTTAAAAAATAAGGTAAACTCGTAAATTGAGCTAAAATGATTTGAGGCAATCCATCCTTTCACCAAATTAGGGTAAGCACGAGGCTAAGGAATCACTTGTTGTTGAAAACGACGTCGTAGTGATCATGAAGAATAGAGTTGACCAATAAAAATGTAAATGCAAGGAATTGTGAAGAGTGGAGGATTGAGGTGGGGCCCAGAAAGTAGATGGAGTGAAATCTCTGAATATGATTCTTGGATGACCTTATTAAGAAAAGATTGGTCAATAAGATCTTGATTTTGTGTACGAATGGGCCCCACCTTTCTTTTTTTCCTTAACTGTCAATAACTTTAAAAAATTTTAAAATAATTAAAAATAACCAACCTTATTAATACACTTTTTATTTTTATTTTAAATATTTTGCGATCACCTACTTGGATTTGCTTGTGTATTTTATTAATATATGGTTTGATGGCAACATAAAATTTCTCCTATTTTGACTATGACGTGGCTAAATGAATAATTATTTTCTTTTTTTTTATATAAAAAGTCGGTTGTCGTTATATTTATTTATTTTATTGATATTTATGGAATATTTACTTTATACGACTAGACTAGTATCACATGCATAAGTTATTAATGTAAGGTCAATTCGAGTATACAATTTATTTAATAAAATAATAATATTATCCTAAATATCACGGCTTCAATCTCCTACTCACTTAGTCAAATTGATTAAGATATATATACCCGAAATTGAACTAAAAAAAAACATTATATTTAAATCTCTAGCATAAATTTGGTTTCTGTTTAAGTTTTGTTTACGTTTTCCTTACCCACTACTAACCTTTATTGATACTCACTTTCTCTCACACGTCTTTATTTTAATTATGCTAACACAAATACGAGTATAGTTCAATTGACACTGTAATTTCAAGGTTAGGTCTATAAGTTCTTTAAAAAGTGAATAATAAATTTTTAAAATTTAAATTTTGTTAAATTATTTATTTATTTATTGTTATCGTTTGAAAAGCAAGACAAGAAGGTTGCTGTACGGAATAGAATAATGAGGAGGGAAGAGGATGATAAGATCCAGTCATGAGGTATTGAGATCGATCCACGTCAGATAGCTAATTACTGGCTGACAGACGTATGATTGAGTAACAACACATGGGAACAGTAACACGTGGCAGACAAGAACGAGGAACCCACAATTGGGAGCGTGAGAATAATATATATACATATTTATATTTTCTTTTTCTTTTTACAAAAATCATAATCGTAAAACAGACTTTTTTCCTCTTAAATATAAAATATAAAAGTCTATTTACATTTTACAGACAATCGCCATATGAGGCGGAGAATAAGCTTCAAAGAAATAAATTTACCCATTTTATATTTTAATTTTTAAAATTCATAAATCTAAATAATAAGTTTAAAAATTTTGAATTCGTTACAATTTATTTTTTAAAAAAATATAAATTAGGATAATTTTTTAATTTTAATATTTATCATTATTATTTTTCGGCCAATTCGAAAAAAAAAAAAGAAAAAAAAGAAAAGAAGAAGAAGGAAATTGCAGGGCCCACCAAAGATCTTGAAAAGTGGACCCACAAGAGATTTTTCATAGATAAAAAGGAAAAAACCAAAATCGTGAAGGAATTGCAACATAGAGCAAGGTGAGGTGGAGTGGACCCCACTCCCCACACCCAAAATTACCTTTATTTATTTCATGTCTCCGTCTATGTTACCGTCGGAGGTCCCTCCCACGCTTTGTCCCTGTAGAAGAATTTATATATATATATATATATATATATATATATATATATATAAATATACAAATAATGCTAATAATTATTATAATTAAAAAATTCTACACATCATTCTAAAAAACCGTCCTTTTTTTTTTTTGCCTTTCCGGTGCTCAAAATTCTAATAATTATGTTGGGTGTACGTGAATTTGCCTGTCCAAAACACGGCTTTTTTTTTTTTTTATGCTATTTAAAATTGAAAGAAAAAGAAAATATGATAATATATTTATTAGGAAAATGATTGAAAATGTGAGAATTAGTTGAGTTATTATGAGGTTTTGTAAGATTGGGGGTTGAAAAATGGGAGGACCAATTGAGCCCCAAATAGTAGTTGTCATTAATTGAGGTAAGCACTTTTGTCAATGATTTCAATTATTTTTGTTTGAGAAGTTAACGGGGATTGTATTGCTTGTGGTTTAAGCCACAACTCCAATAATGGGTCGAGGGCAACGGACTTGTAGGTATATATATATATATACACATCTTTTTCATCAAGATTTGGATTTGGCATGCCCATTTAAGAAACCCCTTCTAGAATTTTCACCAAAAGGTTGTGTCTTAAAGTCAACTTCAGAGATTTGGTGTGGATTTTGTTCCAGATGTCATTGGTTTATGAATTTTTTTTTTTTTACGACAAATTTATGAGTTTAAAGAAATAAAATTGATGGTTTTAATTTCACAACTGTGAAGTTATTACCTATTAAATACTGAGAGTTTAATAAGCTAGTTTTGTCTTGGACACTCTTTTAAGAATTTTCATAGCAAATTTGTTTTTGAATCAAGTAAAGAAAGAGAAAATAAGTAAATCCTAAAGAAAAAAATGAACTGGCTAACCTTGTTACGTTACAGTTCAATGGGCTAACATATACATTCTCGACCTAGAAATCAAAATTTCGAATTCACATCCAAACATGTTGTAAATTGAGAATATTTGTTAAAATTACCACCTAAATAGTGGTGAAATTCTCTGTTTATAATCATTTATAAAATCAAGTAAATTACAATATATATATATATATATATATAGAATCAATCATAAATGGATACAATATATTTTGCCTATAATAGAAGAGCAAATATGATATATAGGATAAACTAGAAAACTAAATATCATACCAGATATTTATCTATAATAAATAGTCAAATATGGGACCTATGATAAACGGGAATGAAAGATAAAATATCCTCAATCATACAACATATTTGCTTATAATAAACGGTCAAATATGATATATATGATAAACCATAATTCATGACTAAATATCGTCAACATAAACAACGACTTCATTGAAAATGGTCTAAAAAGTCAATTCTATTCGACCCCAACAAGTTAATATCGATGGATTTATGTTGGAAGATGCTAGAAACAAAAGTCAATTCGTTGATGGATTTATGTTAGAAGATGCTAGAAACAAAATAAACACCTAGTTGTTAGGCCTACTGATAAAAACAAAGAACATATATCAATGTCTTTGGCAAACAAAGGTCGGTGTGAATTAAAGGAAAATAAAGATGATATGGTGGCACTTGGTAATGTAGAATGGCTCCTAAAATGGGTCACATCTATCATTTCCTAATAGTTAGAGAGAGAAATTCATAGAAGACAGGTAAAGGGTATGTGTTATATTAGTTAAAATGAAATTATCCGACCTAAGTTTATAAAGAAAAGCCAACCTTCCAAACCCAAATTGCAAGTAATTAAGCAATAGTGCACTAATTACAAATTAGAAAAGAGGGAGAAGAACCATGGGAAATGGAGGGGAATCCAATTCATTGATAGTTTGATTAGTTAAGTACGCTTCTAATTAATATCAGAAAGGTCTTTAGTTAATTGATTCAAATCCAACTAACACCCAAAATCAACTCTTTTCCATCATCATGATGACCGAATGGGAACAAAGATCTTGGGATTTTTCTTGGCAATCAAACAAAATCTTAACCAAGAAAGTAAAAGTGGAAAAAAGAGCATAGGAAAGCAAAGAAAAGAGAGAGAGAGAGAATAGAGAGTTGAAAGAAAGAGATAAGTGGTTGTTGTACCAATGGGGTATACAGAATCTAGAGAGAGATCTCAGCATGACAGAAAATACAATCCCCCACCCCCCCACACACACGACATCTTCTTCTGTAACTATTCTTTAACTTCTTCTTCTTCTCCTCTCTCTCTCTCTCTCTCTCTCTCTCTCTCTCTCTCTCTCTCTCTCCTCACCCACTTCATAAAGACCTGCAATATTACCCCCCTCCCACTCCTCTCATCCCACCTCTTTTTTTCTGATCTCTCTCCAGTTGTTGAAACTGATAATGGCAAAACCATTGTAATTTTGTAAATAGATCAGAGGAAAAAGAAACCATTCTTCTCTAATAGCTGGGTGTTTTTCTTGGGGATAATGGAGTTGAAAGCAGCAGATGTAGCGGAAGTTCAACAAATACAGCAACATTTCCATGTGTTGGCTGTCGATGATAGCCTTATAGACAGAAAACTTTTGGAAAAGCTCCTAAGAATTTCTTCATGCGAAGGTAAACATATAGTTGCCCATCTAATTACCAAATTTTCTTCCTAAATTCTTACCTCTCGCATCTTTTTCTATAACTATTTTCTTTTTCCAATACCCAGCAGTGACCTGCGTGGAGTCTGGAGACAAAGCTCTTAGATACCTGGGTCTGCTTGATGACCTTGACAAATTTTCTTCCTCTGCTGCTTCATTTTCTTCCCCACAACTCTCCCACCAACAGGTAATTTTCCCTTCTTCTCTCCAGCCAAGATCCTCTCTCTCTCTCTTTTCATTTTCTTCAACTCATACTAAAGAAGACAAGCAACTTAAAACTATGAACAAATTTCTGCATATAGCAACACCAATTTCTGTCTCTTTCCTAAATGAACTTCATGTCCAAGTGAATTATCTATATATCATAAGAATTGATTGATTAATAATGAATCAACATCCCAATCGAGATCATCTTCAAAGGGAAAAGAAAGAAGAGGGGAAAAAACAGCAAACAATGTATTTCTTCTAAAATTGAAGTTTCTGTTATTTGGTGCCTTCATCAAGCAGAGTCTTGGAGGGAAGTCCTGATAAAGACAGTGCAAGTTGCATACTTTTACGTGCATCACATGTGAAGAAAATTTTAGCTACAATACAATTTAAAATTTATCACTTTTCAACGGCATTCAATCAGCCGGGAATTGATGAAGATTTCCTGTGGAAAAGATTTTGGACGGGGGACCCCTATGTCGTGTTAGCATGTGTTTCTTAAGGGTTGATTTGTTTTTAATTTTATTATTTAATAAATCATTTTCATATTGATTTTCCATTATAATGATACACAGGAAGTCAAAGTCAACTTAATCATGACAGACTACTGTATGCCTGGGATGACTGGTTATGATCTACTCAAACGACTCAAGGTAATGTTATTCTTGTTCTCTGAATTTTCGGTTATATTAAAGCATGGTATTAAAAAAACAAAGAGATCGATATCAGAATGATATTCTAAGTCAATAAGAAAGGAAATGATGGACAAAAATTTCACCGTATACTAAAGTCCAGGCATCCAAATTTGAAAAGTTTTACTTGTTCATATGCACATAAACTGCAATATTCGGTATCCTTCTCTAGACATCTATTTTCTGAAAAGTATTTGAAATGATTCAAAGAATTAAATAATCCGATGTTTTGTAAGGAAAGAGCACAAATATTTGAAATCTAAATGATTTGATATTTCCAACCGATCATTTGATCACTAAAATATTAATTAGAAGATTTATGAGTGCTTACATGATACGTGCATTTGCAGGGATCTTCTTGGAAAGATATTCCTGTTGTTGTCATGTCATCGGAGAATGAACCTTCAAGAATCCACATGTAAATATTTAATTCTCTCACTCGATTTGTTTTATATTATTCACTTTTCGGTTCAATTCGCTAAGTATTGCTTTCTAATAAATGCAATTTACTTACAGGTGCTTGGAAGAAGGAGCAGAGGAATTCCTTTTGAAGCCTCTTCAACTATCAGACGTGAAGAAGCTCGAGCCTCACCTTCAGAGGTCCCTCAGCCGTTCATCTACTGAAATAAAGGAAGAAGAAACCGTCGAAATCGGAATCACTAATTCCGACGCCATTGACGACGAAAACAGCACGAAAGAAGAAAATAACAAAAACGACAATAACAATACCTTCAGCAAGAGAAAAGCCGCGAATCCAGAGCCATCTGAAAGACGACCAAAACTGAAAGAACTGCAAGCTGCAGTATAAGAAAAATGGTGCAAAGGCATCCGCCATTGGCACAGAATACAGATACGATTTCGTCGAACACCTTCGCTGCGATAATATTCTCGAGTTTCTGCGGCATTATACGGAGAAGTTTCCAGGTCGTAAAGAGGAAATTGGAGATGTAAAATGGTTTGTATACCGTCGTCGTCCTTGATAATGTCTGGTTTGTGGATCGAGATTGAAGAATCTCCTGCAATGGGACGTTTTCGAGGGAAATCAATCTAGGGTTTACAACTCGGATTAAAATATCAAATGAAGTTTCCTTTTTGTCTTTCAAGTTCGTTAATCAATTTCTAATCACAACAAACAAGAGGTTTTTGTTTTGGAACCTTAAAAGGACGCGCGCGCGCGAGGAATTAAAAAAATAATAATAATTAAAGAAAAGAAATGAGTCATATTTGTTTTTGAAAAATTATATAATAGTGAAAATTTAAAAAATAATACTTTACATTTCCTATATTCTCAGAATCAATGACTTTAATGAATATACTATTCCATATTATAAATTTATTTAATTTTCGTTTAAAGTTAAAATATGTATATCATATAATACCTTATAAATCACATAATATTATACAATAATATTTATTGCTAAAATTAATAACTAAAGAAAATTTATTATCAAATGTTTATATAAAAATATTGATTATAATTTGTAATTTAAACTATATAAAATTTTGAATAACTATCTTATAAAAATATTTATGGTAAAATATTGATACAATTGAAATATGTATTTTTTTGTTGGGTCATTTTAGCTATTTTGACACAAATGATTTGGATGTTCTAGCGACCGTTTGGCAAAGACCAGGAAGTGGGTTAGTTCGAGAAAAAATCTTGCCAACTATACGAAATAACAAGGCTAGAGGAGCTATGACTACCCAAATTTTGATTCGTTAATGGATGCGTCGATTTTGCTTTTCTATTCTAGAATTTTTCAAATTCGGCGAGATAGGTTTGTGCCATTTATCAATCATAGTAAAGTGCGGTTTCATATGAAATTCATTGTGTATCCCGATGTTTTTGTAATTGCGGCTTTTCGTCTAATCTTCAGAGTAAAAGTGAGTGAATGACACATTTCGAGCAACACCTATACTCTGTATTCATGATATCTACATTCATCCCATTGATCTACGCACAACAATTCCAGACTATTCTACAGACAATTTTCAATATCAAAATTATTTGACAAGGTTAGATTATATTAGTTATTATTAGATGAGTTTTAGAACACAATATTTGAATTATTGAGGGCAGTTTGAAATGTAATTATGTCAGATCTTTGTTGGGTAGAAATGTAATTGAATGTTATGTTATTAAAAAAAGATTAAAAAACTAAAAAGGCAAAATGAGAATGGAAAACATTTACGCAATCAGTGCACTGACTCCCACGCACTTGAATTCACCAACTTCTCCCAATATACTTGTTGCCATCCTCCTAAACCGGTAGTGGCCGTGTTCCACTTAAATTATTTTAAAATTTTCCTATATTTCATTAATGAATTTAATATTAATTTTCCATATTTTATTAGTATTTTTATAAAAATCTTTTTTAAAAGCATCTTAAATATTTTTGGAATATTCTGAAATCATTACTTTTCTATTTTTTTTTTATTTCAAATTATTATATGGGTTATTTGGATTTTGTTTTCTACCGTTATTTCATGATTGGATTCAGCCCCTTCAAATGGTAATAAAGTACACGAGCCAATGTAAGAGACGAGAGCTCTAGGTGAAATCTCTCACCCTAGAGACAATGGCAGAGACAAGATCTCCGAGTGTACTCGCTCACCACGAGCCAATGGCAGAGACAAGATCTCTGAGTGTACTCGCTCACCACGAGCCAATGGCAGAGACAAGATCTCCGAGTGTACTCGCTCACCACGAGCCAATGGCAGAGACAAGATCTCCGAGTGTACTCGCTCACCACGAGCCAATGTCAGAGACAAGAGCTCCGAGTGTACTCGCTCACCACGAGCCAATGTCAGAGACAAGATCTCCGAGTGTACTCGCTCACCACGAGCCAATGGCAGAGACAAGATCTCCGAGTGTACTCGCTCACCACGAGCCAATGGCAGAGACAAGATCTCCGAGTGTACTCGCTCACCACGAGCCAATGTCAGAGACAAGATCTCCGAGTGTACTCGCTCACCACGAGCCAATGTCAGAGACAAGATCTCCGAGTGTACTCGCTCACCACGAGCCAATGGCAGAGACAAGATCTCCGAGTGTACTCGCTCACCACGAGCCAATGTCAGAGACAAGAGCTCCGAGTGTACTCGCTCACCACGAGCCAATGTCAGAGACAAGAGCTCCGAGTGTACTCGCTCCCCACGAGCCAATGTCATGAGTGTACTCGCTCCCCACGAGCCAATGTCATGAGTGTACTCGCTCCCCACTAGCCAATGTCATGAGTGTACTCTCTCCCCACGAGCCAATGTCATGAGTGTACTCTCTCCCCACGAGCCAATGTCATGAGTGTACTCTCTCCCCACGAGCCAATGTCATGAGTGTACTCTCTCCCCACGAGCCAATGTCATGAGTGTACTCTCTCCCCACGAGCCAATGTCATGAGTGTACTCTCTCCCCACTAGCCAATGTCATGAGTGTACTCTCTCCCCACGAGCCAATGTCATGAGTGTACTCTCTCCCCACGAGCCAATGTCATGAGTGTACTCTCTCCCCACGAGCCAATGTCATGAGTGTACTCTCTCCCCACGAGCCAATGTCATGAGTGTACTCTCTCCCCACTAGCCAATGTCATGAGTGTACTCTCTCCCCACGAGCCAATGTCATGAGTGTACTCTCTCCCCACGAGCCAATGTCATGAGTGTACTCTCTCCCCACGAGCCAATGTCAGAGACAATGTCATGAGTGTACTCTCTCCCCACGAGCCAATGTCAGAGACAAGATCGAGTGTACTCGCTCCCCACGAGCCAATGTCAGAGACAAGATCGAGTGTACTCGCTCCCCACGAGCCAATGTCAGAGACAAGATCGAGTGTACTCGCTCCCCACGAGCCAATGTCAGAGACAAGATCGAGTGTACTCGCTCCCCACGAGCCAATGTCAGAGACAAGATCGAGTGTACTCGCTCCCCACGAGCCAATGTCAGAGACAAGATCGAGTGTACTCGCTCCCCATGAACCAATGTCAGAGACAAGAGCAAGTGTAGGCTAAGTCTCGAATTATCTAGAGTATTAGAACATAAAATTGTAAGATAAAAAATGAAAGCGCTAAACTCAGCCGGTAAATTAAAAATAGTAAAATGTTGATATGATCACATAAGGGTTAAAAGTGTAGTAAGGATAACAGGGATAATACTGTAGAACTAAGAGCTACTCCAAAAGCAAAGAGCTTGCGTCGCATATTATTGTTTGGTTTATTTCTTGTCAACTTCTATAGAGAGAATTGAAAAGGCGATCACATGCTCTGTGGTGGTGATGATACTATTATGTTGTCAACTTCTATAGGAATCGCAGCTGCCAAAACATGCCAAACAACCAAAGCTCTCAAGCCGCCTGCCCCCAGAAGATCTTGAGATCTGCACTCCTCCATCAACAAAAAGCTCTCTTCCTACACAAAACCAAGGTTATGATTCACAAGGTGCAGATGTTCACAAGTTGGTTCTTCGTGTTTAGTACTCAAAATCGTTGAAAGATACCCCCAACAAATTCCAATCACTCAATCTGATAACCAACCAACCAACCATTTAGTTTTTGTGCTTGTTTTATCCGGATTTACTACCACAGATCTCATCTTTCTTAGCAAAATAATGATGATGATAATAATTCTTAACCTAATTCCAAAAAAGTGGACGAAACTCCAAACACTATTAGAAGGATGATGATTATGGTAATGCGGTTGGTGATCATGATGATGCTATTTTCTACCATGCAAGTTTCAGAGGGTTTCATTAGATAAAAGGTTAAGAGATCTTTTTTACTTCTTACCATTTTTAGAGCTCATCCTTGGCTGGTTTTGAGTCCTTGGGTTTCGAATCAGCCTCGGTGTCCTTGGGTTCTGAATCTACCTGCTCGGTTTTATCACGATTTATCTCAATGAAATTTATGATGTCTTCCTTTGTTCTATCGCCGTTGTAGTCAACCAGCTTTCCGCTTGCTGTCCTGAGATACACAGTCGGGTAACCTTCGACCTCGAACTCACCATTTGCGATGTCATTCGCGCTGGCATCCTACCAAGAGAAACAAGTTGTTGATCATATACATATTTGAATTGTCTAACGGATCAAATTTGCAGACAACCCATTTCAAGTGAAAATGCAGATATCAATTCCAAAGTTCAAAATTCACAGGAAAATTCACAGGTAATGGATCTTACAAACTTAGCAATGACAACATCAGGATCGCTTTCATATGAGACAGCCACTTCCTCTAAAATTGGAGCAAGTTTTTTGCAGTGACCGCACCATGGAGAATAAAATTCCAGTAAAACTGCCCCACAAAAAAAGCTAGTTAATGATCTTGCACTATACAACTAGAGGATGGTTAAATAGAAATACGATCAAGAACAAAAGTTCAAAAAAAATGGGAGAAGAATCAATTATGTATGAATGGCAAATCAGTTTAGTGGCTCAAAATTTCTAAAAATAAAGGAAAATCATAAGAGGCCTCTTTGCAACACCATGAGATATGAGATAAATTAAGTTAAATTGGGTACTTAAATGCCTAGCTAGTGATGATCAAATGAAAATTAACGATTTCATAATAAGAATAGCCTTGGGATTGATGAGTATATATGAATACTGCTGCATACATACAAGCATGATGAGAATATTTCTAGCACATATTTTCTTAGATCATATTAGGGAACTGTGATACTCACCATTTTTACCAGATTTGTAGACTACATCCTGAAGGCTATCAGCAACGACCACTTTCACAGGTTCATCGTTACTCTCAGGAATGGGTTCTGACTTAATGTATTGTGGCACATTGCCGTTCTGCAGTTGTGAAATCAGAGTTATAGATAGACTTCATATTTACCTACTTCATAGTGACGAAATGTTCTTTCGACACTACCACTTTTAATATCTATAGCAAACTATAAGATATTGTCATCTATCAAGTTTCCTTGGTCATTTTCATTTGAAACTACTTACCCATCACTATACGTTCGTACATTTCTCTCCATCTCTAGGATCATAACACGTAATTTAACTACGTTTGAAACGTCTAATTGAAACAACTAACCTTTCATGGAAAAATCATTTTCATACATATACTAGCATTCACAGTACAAATGTTGTTAAATCTAAACACCATCAAGGGTCATGAAAACACATAAAATGTAAGTGAGTTTGACCTTGTAGTCCTTCAACCAAGGAGCAATCTGTTCAGGCTCTACATTGAATTTCACGTACTTGAACCTATCATTTCTTTGCACAAGAATGATAGGGACTTGATCTTCCTTGAGTCGAAAATACTGTAATGCAAAACAATAAGGTACCAAACATGCATGATGTAGAACAAAGTAAGCAACTTAAATAGCCACCCGAAACACCAAAGTATACGAACTTTTAGGGCAGCTTCACTGGATTGACTGTCTCCAATTAGGAAACTTATTCCCTCTCCTTTGTACTGCTCAGCAACTTCACGGTACTTCAATTTTAAAGATTCAGCAGCCTCGGTGGTGTAATTCAGAAACAACATAGCCTACCCAACAAAAGAGAAACATTAATCAAACGCCATTGCTTATCAATGGAGAATATTTATTTATTTGTTCAATTGTAAATATTTACTTTGTACCCCCAGAAGGGGAAAAAAGTCTGAAAGTTGTTTTGAGTATGAAAGATCAATAAAATTGATAAGAAACAGACACATTTATTGAACCACAGAAAGTGAGCGGTGAACATTAGTGCACAATTAACTCCATGCAAACAATGGAAAGAAGTCTCTGACTAAAATGGAGAACGATTCTCACAGCGGATCATGCCTCTTTACCTTATCATTAGAACTGGAGAAGAACTTGGAAAGGTAGACGTGATTGTTAGGATCATTATCGAAAACCGTTACCAAGGGAATGCTAGATTCTTCAATGAACTTCTCCAACTTAGCTACATCAAAATCCTGAGTTCATAGCTCCAATAAGATCAGCGTGCAAAAATTAAATCACAAAAAGCCAAACCTACAAATTTAGCACACATAATGATATTAAATTTTGGTACCTTAAAATCCACAAATAGCTCATCGAATGGCTTGAAAAGCCTGACAATTGGGCCAGATACAGATGTTTCTCCACGTGGAAGTAGCTTAGCATCCAAAGTGTGGCCAAAAGCATAGTCAGAACGCAACTTCTCAGCCAAAGCAATGTAGGTATCGAACTCTTCTCCAGAAAGTTTAGGAAATATTCCAACCTAAGACAGGGAAAAATCAATTTTCGTAGCTACTCAGAAAAATGAAAATGGCAGCACAAACTAGGAAAGGAAGAAAAGATGAGAGATTTAGTTCATACGATGAAAACGTCCTTAATGAGATTACTAGCATCCTCAGCAGATTTTATTTCAGCAGATGCAGGCCCATTTTGCTGCTTTAAGTAGTCAACAATCCCATCTGCTTCGCGAGGTCCCTTGTAATCCTGACTCGATTTGCCCCCATTTCTCAATATCTTAATAGTGGGGAATCCCCTAATTTCAAATTGACTAGCCAGCCCTCTGTTTGACTCTTCGTTTACATCAATTTTGGCTAAAACAATTGGCGGGTCGTGACTGCTCAAAATAGACGCAGCTTTTTCATACTGTAAAATATGAAAAGATCATGAGACCATAAGAAACAAGATGCTCAAGGACAATTCAACCAAAACAGCTGAGATAAGAGAATTAGTTTACCTCTGGTGCCAATTTCATACAATGTCCACACCTAGAACATTGGGGGGAAAACGTTAAAAGAAGGGGTCATCTCAATGACATTTCATGCAGTAATAATGGCAAATTAAAACATGATAATACGATTAGAAGGTTGAAGTCTGAATCAATTCCATAAATCTCCATTGCTTCTCAAGGGAAAGGAGTGAAAAAATGTTCCAAGATGAAGGATACACCAAGGAGAAAAAATCAACATATAACTAAGCCAACAACTAGCCTCTGATTCCAGTTCTTCATACATAAAGAAAAAAAGAAGTCCAAAAACCAACGACAAGGGTACTAAGATCCAGTTCTTCAAGGGTACGCAAAAGTTTAAAAAAAAAAAAAAAACAAAAATCCTCACTGTCGTTGATTGCGCACTCAATTACACACATCGGGGTAACAAACAAAAGGCAGCCATACAATCATTCCCAAATGCTAATATCCAAATAACATCACCAAGATTGTTCAACAACAATGCACTAAAACCAACCTATAGAAACAGAGCACAGAGGCCAATTTACACAATGAATGCGAAAAATGAATCAAGAAAACAACACTACATTCAAGACATAAAAATGAGATCCTCACAAAAATCACAAAATCAAATCACATAGCAGCCGTAAAAAGATCGGAAACGGAAATTTGACCAACGAGAAGGAAATGGCAGTAAAAAAAACCCTAAAGGACAATCTAAAAAAAACCATACCACGGGGCGTAGAACTCAACGACAATGAAATCATGCTTGGCAACAACATCCGAGAAGTTCGAATGGTCCAAAGTGAGAACAAATTCCTTCGCCTCAGCCTTGTCCGCGTAGATCTCAGTGAAAGAAGCAGAAAGAAGAACAAAAACAAGCACAGAGAACCGAATCAAATGTGAAGACGCCATTGTCAATGCAATGGAAGAAGAAGAAGCTTTCCGTAAAACTAAACGATATTAAGAAAAGTTCAGACGCGCGGGGGGGTTTTAAGGGGGACCGGCTGAAGCAGTTTTTTTTTTTAATTATTAATTAATTTTTAAAAATCCGGCTAAAGGAGTTAGATAAAAAACGATGAAAATATGGTACTCGCACGTGACTTCTCGTGAGTCATCGGATCTACGCATTAAAAATCAACGCTGGCGCTACACGTGGACACTACTCGACGTGGCGTTCTTCTATTGGATAATACTCGTCATTCGTATTGGTTTTTCATCCGAGGGCTCGCACGCTTGGCGATTAAATCGGCGATTAAAAACTATTACCGGCTGCTAGAAGAATTTGAAATGTCGATGGCCAATTAAATCGTGGCGACTTTTCTAAAAGTGGCAAATATCTATTCAATTGAAACTGATTTGTTGTTTTGTTTGGTTATCCTGGTCTTGCGTGTACTGGAACAGTTCTCCCTTGGATTTGAAATTTTATGGTAAAAAAATATATTTTTAATTCTTACCATTATTACACCTTAATATTTCATAATTATTTTAAAATTATTATTTATTATAAATCTTTTAATATTATATAAAAAATTAAAGGATGACTATAAACACTTATTTGAATTAAGTTTAAGTCGATTTTTATTTAACATTTAAATAATTTTTTATTTCAACAATAATTTTAAGACATTAAGGATAGTATATTGTAATTATGAAAATCGTTATAATATATATATATATATATATATATATATATATATATATATATATATTAACTTTTATAGTATTATTTACTTTCTAATCCAATTTGTCCACTTGAAACGGTCTTTGGGGATAAATCTTAAGCAAAAAAGTAGATGTAATGATAATTAATAAAATTATTATAGGGAAAGCCACCAACCACATTAATTAATTTTCCATATATATATTATTATTATTTAAGTTGCAATGTATATTTCAATTATAAATATTCAGCATTTTTAGAATATTTGAATGTGACGTCTCACTAGGGAGAAGAACAAACCATCATAAGGTGTGTGAAAACCTTCTTCAGACCTGTTTTAAAATTTTGAGGGGAAGTTCAAAAGGGAAGTCCAAAGAAAACAATATATTCTAGCGGTGGGCCCACATTACAAATGATATCTGAGCCAGATATCGAACGATGTGCCAGTAAAGACGTTGACGTTGGGCCTCGAAGGAAGTGGATTGTCGATTGAAGAAAGAAACGAGCGCTAGACCCCGAAGGAGGGTGGATTGTGATGTCCCGTTGGGAGGAGAAAATAACAATATAATTCATTCTTATCCCTATAGTATTGTCTTCGATAAATATTAGATTATCAGTAAAAATTAGACAAGAAGTTAATTTATGGAAATTTTCAATAAAAATTTTAAATTAGACTAATAATTTTATAATTTAAATCTTAATTTTAATAATTATATCAATTTACACTCGATTTTGTAACAAGTTTACCTACGCGTGAGAATTAATACATATCTTAGAGATATAAATTGACTTTTTTTCATAAAAATTTAGAAAATCTATTTATTAACCCCTTTGTACCTTAGAATGAAAAAAAAAGATATTGAAATATTGAAATTTGAAAATGATTTAAAATTATTATTCATGTATTGAAATAAAAGCATGATTTATCATTTGGATGTTGGCTACAGAGGTAATGAAAATAATAGGTTTGATAATATTATCTTACCATCCAACTTTACTAATAAAGAATTATAAGTTAAATTATTCATTTAGTCCCATAATTTGGACAAAATTTCAATTTCATCCCATAAGCAAAAGACTAATTAACATCAACTTTAACTCATAAAAAGTCGAAGTTTTGTTGTTCATATGGTAGGCCAATCAATCTCCTTCCAAATAAGGAAAAAGTGTGGCAACCAATTCCCGAAAAATTTCTATCAGTTTCGGATAACAACTTTTAACACATGCGCACCAATCGTTACAAATTCTAAAGGCTCTTGTTGACCCGACTGAACAAATGTGGTGACACGACTTAGGTAGCAACCCCTAAATGTTTGTTCCGTGCCTTCCAAAACTCGGTATAAATTCAAATTTTGTCCAAACATTTGAGCCTAAATTTTTTCTTCTTTTGAATTAACATGCGGATTCCTTCAAGTTTCTGGAGAAACAAATGGAGAATAAAATCAACGAAGAGTTAGCCAAGACAATTTTGAAACATGGTGCCTGTGAGCCAAAGATGCCTTTCAAAAGTGCGTTTATTCTAATAACTCTGAAATGACGAGAATCAAGCCTATTCCCACATTATTGGAAGTTCTAAAGGCCATCCCTTTTCTATACTACAAATATAAACACTGGATCAGTAAAAATGTACAAATTTCACCAAATTAGCTTCCACCTATCCAACCTACAGCATGGCCAAATTTGAATTGGATAGAAATATCTTTAATACATACACCAAATAGTTAGCCTGCTGAGAAGTATAAGTGCCATAATAAGCAACATTAAAACAAGTCAGTCCTGCCTATAAGTCCAATATATGTCATATGCTTAATGATTCCGCTGCCTATTGACTGCCTAGGCAAGCATAAAACGGGTGATACTTTATGTATACCTAAAATATGTTTCAACTAGTTGAGTCAAGTTCAAGTTGACTAAATACGAAAGTGACAGGAGCAATGAAAACCACATTCAATAATTTGTCGTGTGTGTAACAAAAGGTTAAAGCAATTAACTCGTCCTAGATATTTTACCTGTTCACAGACCATTGTAGTTAGTTGACCAAAGATGTGGTTAATTTCAAGTAGGTAAGCATTAGAAATGGATCGTGAAATCAGAAGACATTGTGTTGAGAAATAAAGGTAGATTCAAAACCTCAGTTTCCTAGAAGAGATGTCAAAATTGCCAAAACAGCAATCACAAGTATGATATTTAGGAAGTAGTTTGTTGGTAAAGGCTTATCTGGACTTCCACCAAAGCTTTCGTATTCTGCCCGAATCTTCTGCTTCATTGAATCTGATAGCTCTCTCTGCAATTCAAATAGGCAATACACTATTGAATTTTATTCCATTCTGCTTCATTTTAGACTTCCAAGTTTTAGACGCGACATCACAGATGTCAGGATTTGAATATATCTTCTCAACTCGTATTATTAAAAGACACGGCACAACAAAACATGAAACTTGTTTCTAATCAATCCTGCAGTAGACAACCAAAAGTAGAGAAGATAAACATTTTATGAAGACGAGATTTTTTTAAGAAATTTATCATGCAATTAAATGAAATGGAAATAAGAAAGTTTGTAATGTATACAACCTTCCCGTATGAGTATTTGGCGGCATCAAACTTCTCTCCTGCAGGTTTTGATGATGCATCATCAATCACAATACCCTGTGATCAACAAAATGCAGTTTCGGTGAGGTTTGAGTAGACATAAACTTGGAGTCCATAAGCTTTTCTATAAGCAACTGGACAAATTTGAAAGAACACCTCATAGTTCTATAAAGTGTAATTCTGGGAGAATCAGAATATTTGATGGTACAATATTATTTTAGTTGGATGACTTTGAAGGGCGTCAATAAGAGGAAAATTCATCACAAAGGAAAAATATTCTATAAAAGGAAGCCTGCCACCTAGACAAGATCTACAATTTATCAACAAGGGCGACAAACCTCTGGAGGGTCAAACTTAGCACCAAGGTTGCTGAGCTTGGCGTGGGCTTCAGCATAGTCTTTGAAGAAGGCTTCTTGATCTTCAACATATTTCTCAGCATATACCTGCAACACAGCATTAATAAATGAAAACCACATTTGAGTCTTTTGATTGCCTTATGAAAGACCAACTCCATGAAGAAGCTTCTTGTTTACCAAGATAAAGCCTACTAAAGGGATCAATGATGGGGTGGGGGGGATGTGTGGCTCTGTTTTACCTTGAATGATGGATCTTCAAAGAGAGCAGCATCGGTTGGCAACACCAGTAATTCTTCATCTCTCCTTTCTTTGATATCCTATTGCCACAGACCAAAAAAAGTAAGCAAAAAATGGTTCGACATCAGCACATATAAAATGAAACCAACATGGTATAAACCTTAAAATATGAGTTGTCGAACTTCAGCCATTGTACAGTCCAGGATTGTCCACCAGGTGCACCAGGTCCATTTTTCTGTAAGGAAAAATCAAAACAGGAATCTCCTGAGAATTGCAACTACAATGCTGTAAAAAATTTAAAGCGGTGACATTGATTCAAAATAAAATATGGGTGGAAAGACAAGGTAAACTAAAGCATGAAAGACCCGGGAAAAGAGCTAAAGGAGATAAGGTTAAACCCATCAACCGATCCATCTGCACTTCATCGTATGGAAACTAGTGGTGACCTCACAATAGAAGGAATCTTCTCCTCATATGGAGACATTAACCATTTTCCAGAAGGTCCAAAACCAAATACAGCATAGCATGTCTCAACTATAGAATTTCAAGAAAGATTTATAAGCTATTGCTGAGTTTTACATTAATTAAAACTGGGTATTTAAATAATCTGGTTGAACAATAAAAAAAAGCTTGAGCAGCATGCACTTCTCACACTAATTAGCGCTAATTCCTCCCGTCAAGACAATGCATGCCCTAGAAGGGAATTTTTTAATCTATCCTATGCCAGTTGATACTAGACTTGAGAATAGGTTGGAATGCTCTTTCAAGCATGATGTGCAATAGAATGGGATTTCTCCAAAGAGAGGAGAATGATGTGGGATGGCATAAGGAACATGGGGGAGAGGGGCTTATTAGTAATATTTTCATTCACTCACTGAGTGAGTCAATTAAGTTTGTAAGAAATGCCCCCAAGCTTGGTCCTGCCTACTATGTATAAATACATCAAGCTCTCTCCCATTTGGTAAGGCTTTTGAGAGAATTGATTTCAATATCCAACATCAAAAACATTGCTAGAAAATATGAAATAGAATATCCGGGTGGTCTACAGGGTTGAGAGCCATAGTAGCTCCTAAGATCCCGTGGTTGAAGATCCAAGAATGTCAGAGATGGCAAGATCAAAGGCAGCTTA